GTGTGTGTGTGTGTGTGTATATATATATATATATATATATATATATATATATATAATAGATAATGTCTGTGGTAATAGCACCAAATGCATTGGGGATATCCCATCTATCAGACAATATACAAATGCCGATGTCAATCTAGTCAGCCATCATGGAAAAAAAAATCATCAATCAAGTAAGGATACGAAACTGAGTACTTACACCCACTACTCTCAGCTTCTACTCCCTTTCACTGTCTATAGCCAGTTGTGGGAAGGCAGTTACCCTTAAATTTCTTAAAGTAGAAATGAATTGAAGTAAAGCCACCCTAACATTTCTACTCCCAACATCCATCCTTACAAAAAAGATATTAAATAGAACTATACACCATACCTTAAAAGTTTTTATATAGTTCTAATTCCCAACCTTTCTCCTGAACATTTATTCAAGTATAACATGTGAATGCTGAGACAAGCCCAGCTACTTGAAGTTAGGCTTTCCATCCCGGTTATACTGAATAAAATTACTATAAAAATTAATATTAGTTACTTATAAGCTAAAATAACTAACTCCCTCTATATTTTAGTTATAAGATATTTTCCTTAATCAATAATTTAGTTTCTAAAATATTTTTGAATTTATTAAAAAAAAAGGTATATATATATTTTACTGAATGCTTAAGAAAAAATATCTGTTTTAGTTTTTCCACAAATTATCTAGTGTATAAAAAGAAATGCAAACAACAGATACATGATTTAAGTTTCATTACTGTTCCTCACCAACACAAATTTTTCCATCTTCTACAGGCCTGTAGCCTTCAAAACAACTGCACTTATAACCAATAGGCAAATCTTCACACAAATGGGGACACAGTTCACCAGATTCACATTCGTTGATGTCTATGTAACACAAAAACAAGAAGATTCACATTTATTTGAAGAACCTGACATTACCATCAAATGTTTTGCCATTCTCATTTTTTTATGCAAAAATAAGTTATATAAATTTAACCATAAACTAATGCTTAACGATTTATACTGTTTAAATTACACAATAATCAAGAAGTTTACATTATAAGATCCTAACAGAGATGACTAAAATAATCATAAAAACTGTATATGAATTTTTAAATATACAATCTTCCACTTTTTTTCTTTTTAAAGATGCCATGTTTTAGGAGCTTTATTCAGAATATGCAATTTTACTTATAAAATTGATCATACCAAAAACAGGTAAATTATAAAATTTCTGTTATATCACTGATAAATAATTAACTTCTCCATTTTTTTTTGCTAATACAATTATGCAGGTATAAACTTCCTGTGTGTTAAATTTCAAGATAATCTGTAATGCAATCAGCTAGTTAACATCAGGGTTAACATAATAATCTTCTCAAATTTTCTTTTCTGACAGACTTTAAATTAATTCCAGTAGTATACACATCTATTCCATTATCATTAATTAATTATTGAACTATAATTCTACGTAGACTGTGTACTGTCTAGAGCTGATTTAAAGAACTTTTCAGTACTGTTAATTTCCTCCTATAAGCGTCTGTATTTAGTGAAGATATTACTATATATATATATATATATATATATATACTTACTACATTTGAGTTCATCAGAGAAGTCTCCACAATTATTCTCTCCATCACATAACAGAGTAGAATTAATACACACTTCATTCTCACATTCAAACTCCCCATCACCACATGCTGGTTGTGTCACATTTTTTGCTAGATAAAAATATATTAAAATTATATGTTAGTGAATAAAAAGAACCAACATTAGTAACAGTTTCTAAAAGAGAAAACTAACAGAGATATCTCATTAAATTCTATTTTTAAAAAAGTATATGATGTGCATATGTCAAAATTATTCTGTTTATTTTTAGATCATTATATTTGACATGTTGTGAATGTATATTTTTACCCTCTGGATATTTACATGAGTGTACTTATTATCAATATCCTTGTGAAGAAATGAAAAAATACATTTTTCAATTATTATACTACTGAATCTCTATGAATTGAATGGACATCCACATCCCCACATACAGAAATAGATTCTTAAATGCATTTTCTAATTATGGGTTCCTGTGAAAATGTATGTAATTCTTTGACTTTTATAAAGTTCTTATGAAATTTTTCAGATGATAGAATTGTTTCTTTATTTCTTAATTTTGCACAAAGCTACTTGAGGGCTATCTGCATTAGCCATCTTTAATTTACCAGTGACAGTCTAGAGGGAAGGCAGCTAGTCAACAACACCCACTGCTAACTCTTGAACAACTCTTTTACCTATTAATAGTGGGATTGGCCATCACATTATAATGTCCCCACAGCTGAAAGGTGAAGAATGTTCGATGATGAGGATTCAAACCCGCAACCCACAGATTGCGAGATGAGCACCCTAACCACGAGGCCATGCCAGTCTGATAGAACTGAATCAAGTCTATATATTCTCTGATACTATACCTAAACAACCTATGAATGATTCTAAGTGTTGTTCTAACCACAGAAATGACATTACTCTCTCTAAATAACAATGCTTTTATATTTCAAAAAATTATTTTAAATTAAATGCAGGTACAATTTAATTGTAAGATCAGTCCTTGAAAGATTCATATATGCTAATTACAAGTTTATTCAAATAAAACAGTATTATTTATCAGGAATATAACCAAAAGTCAGATATCATTAATAATATAATCTTGGCATCAAAGCTATAATCACATAATAATATTAACACTTTTTGTAGCTGACTAATGCATTCAACTTAAACTGAGCACATACACATTTAAAAAAAATAAAGACCAAATGATGATGGGATATTCAGCTAATGATGGTGCTACTGCAGATGTTTACTACACGATACTCTTAGAGACACAGATTAAAAGCTGCACTCTATATGATTCTATCACCATAGAGAGATTCATATTAATGAGTGCTCACTGCATTATGCTCTTACTGCAGATCAAAAGTTGCTTACTACATGATACTATCATTGCATAAAGAACCAGATAAATGGGTGCTCAATACATGCTGAGGGAGATCCAGACTAAAGAGTGCAGCTCTTACTGCAGAGAGAACCAGATCAAAGGATGTTTTCTATACAATACACTTAAAATGATTCTAAGATGAAGTAAACAAGTTAGATTATATAACATCATCTTCACTTACCACAATGACTGGTGTCCTCATCAGATCCGTCACCACAGTCACTAATACCGTTACACATCCATGTCTTAGGTATACATCGTTTATTCTCACACTGAAACTCTCCTTCAATACAGGGTCTGTGGACTACAAAAATAAATTAAAAAAATATATCTTGAAATGTATAAAACACATGTTTAGTTAACTTTCTCGCTATGGGTAAGAAAAAGTGCAAATGTCACAACATTTCACAGAGTTACATTAAAAATTTCATTAAACTACTTTATTATCAATGTATGTGAAAAAATACGGCATCAAAATGTAATGCACATTATACAAGTATTATTTCTAATGTAAAGAGGAAAAATTTAAATCATTTTTTGATCTTTGCTTGTCTGTGTAATGTGACATCTATTTGTCCCAACTTGCCCATTTTCTATTTTATCATCACCACTCTACAATGTGGCTAGTTGAATGTATGTTGCTCATTATAATACAGATATCAATAATGCATAATTAATATTTATAGCCTTTCCCTGTCACCCCTGGTACCCTTTACTGCTCATGACACAAGGTTTTAGTGTCTTACGTTCAAAGTTTTATTAATCTACTTTTTGTTTATGTTA